CTTCTTCAAAGACGACAATGGCCGGAACGTAACTGTGAATGGCGAGCGCTACCGTGCGATGATAACAAACTTTTTTTGCCAAAAATGGAAGAGCTGTACTTGGCTGACATGTGGTTTCAACAAGACGGTACCACATGCTACACCGCACACGAAACAATGGCCCTATTGAGAGGCGAGTTCGGTGAACAGTTTATCTCACGTTTGGGGCCCGTCAATTGGCCGCCTAGATCGTGTGATTTAACGCCGTTGGACTATTTCTTGTGGGGCCATGTTAAGGCTAATGTCTACAGGGATAAACCAGCAACGATTGACACACTGGAAGCCAATATTGAAGCATTTATTCGTGAGATACCGGCCGATATGTTGGAGAGAGTGTGCCAAAATTGGACCTTGCGCATAGGCCATCTAAAGCGGAGCCGCGGCCAACATTTACATGAAATAATCTTTAAACATTAAATTATATCGACCGTTCTATCGACTCAAATAAAAATTTAATCGTTTTTTCAAATTTTTTGTGTTTTTTTTTTAAATAAAATCCTATTCCTCTTAAAAAATCACCCGTTATATCAAAAATTATTAAAATCGGCTAAACATACTTAGGTGTTTACCTTTTTCTGTCACTCAGTATATTTGAACGACGGTACGCAACGTGTTTTTTCTTTCACATCTTGACATCTTCTTTTCTCTAATGACGAGACAAGGTGTATGTTTAAGGTCGATGTGGTTATCATTATTAACGGAAACTTTCAAAACCGACCAAGAAACTAATACACCTCTTGACACTGACGGAAAATTAGAACACCCGGTAAATTAGAGTTGTGACGTTTCAGTCCGACCTGTTCCAATTAAACGAATCCTGTGGTGGATCCGCACCCGTATTACTTAACTTGAAAAGTGACATTATATCAATGTTTACTTCCTACGCGAACAGCCGAGGGAAGTATTGTGATCGCGAAAAATTTCGAAATTGAGATATTGTGTTCTGTTGTGTTATATGAAGTTGACATCACAAAAAACCGTGTCACTCATTTCCGCCAATCAGTCTGTCTATCTGTCTTGTCTTTTTGTCTGTGAGTTCGCAAATGCTTGACCCCTCCATAACTTGGAAAATACCGCCAGGATTTCGATGAAATTTTCACACAAGGTTAGCACTATGCCAAGGTCAAAAAAGCATTGCAGTTTTTGTCTAGCGGAGGCGGAGTGGGGGGCAAGAAACGAGAAACGAAAGAAAAAGAAAAATCGCTCAAACTTCGTACTTTGACGTTTCAGAGTCTTCGTATCATTTTCGGAAAAAGTTTGGTAGGTTGAACATTGGTGGTAGGAGGTTGAAGGGATTGTAAGTATTACATCTTTAGCATTATTCAACGACGTTCTATCATTAAGAAGCTTCGGATCCCTGTAACAATGGAAAAATAATGCAATCGTTCGTACTGGTAAAATTGCGGCGGTGTCGACACTGACACGCTGTCACAGGGGAATATTTATATATTTTAGGAATATTCGGGTATTATGAGTTCGTACCACTCCGCGATGCTTTTTGAATGATGCCTTAACTATTCATATATCTACACATATCTGAATTGTGTGATGTACCCACCTGCCATAGAAACGGAAATATACTAAGTGACATATAAATCCGAGCACCCAGTTTAAATGGTTTTATTTTAATAAAAGTGGGTGAATGTATTTATCTTACTGTAAACAACAAGTGAAAAAATTGTCAGCCTTATCAGTTGGACATTCCGGTATTTATACTGCTTTTTTTAATTCACTAACGCTCTAAAAATGAATATTTCAGCCGCAGTAAAGAATCAACGTTGGCGGATTTTGGTTCTTGACATCCATTACGATCGGTTACGATGCCTAGAGTACGGAGACCTGTACGATTTCGTCAACTTAGTGAGTTTGATAGGGGCCGTATAGTGGGACTTCGGGAAGCTGGACTTTCTTTTCGGGCAATTGCAGTTAGAGTGCAAAGAAGTGTAGACACTGTGGTTAGGTGTTGTCAGGCATGGCTTCGAGAAGGCCGTACGCAAAGAGCAAGGGGCACTGGACGCCGCCGTAGAACAACAGACCGTGAAGATCGCCGCATAAGATTATTGGCCTTAAGGGACCGTTTCTCCACTACCAGGTCCATTGCAAATGAATGGTTTGCAGAACACGGAAGACCTATTGGCATGCGAAGTGTTTACCGACGAATGAGAAGTTTTGGCTTGTTTTCATACCGGCCACACTGGGTCCTCCCTTTAACTCGAGAACACCGACGTAATCGCCTTGAGTGGTGCAGACAACGGTCACTCTGGGATCAGGAATGGAACAGTATTGTCTTTAGTGACGAGTCTCGATTTTGTTTAGGCATGCACGATGATCGTGCCAGGGTTAGAAGGCGACGTGGTGAAAGGAGGAGTCCACAGTTTTTTGTTGAAAGACATGTTCATCACACTGTTGGAGTTATGGTTTGGGGTGCTATAGCTTAAGGTTCCAGGTCACCTTTAATCTTCATCAGAGGTAACATGAACGCGCAGCGTTATATCCACGAAGTTCTAGAACCCCATCTTTTACCCTATCTTGACACCCTGGCAGATCCAACTTCCCAACAAGATAATGCCCGACCACATGTTGCAAGAGTCACAATAGACTTCTTTCAACATAATGACATTGTTACCATGGCCACCAAGATCTCCCGACTTATCCCCAATTGAGCACGTGTGGGATATGATGGGTAGGAGATTGCTCAATTTGCAACGTCCTCCTCAGACTCTAGAAGCACTTCGAGAGGAGTTGGTGGTTGCCTGGAATGAGATACCACAGGAGGACATTGACCACCTGATCAGAAGCATGCCTGTGCGCGTTGGAGAATGCGTAGCACATCAGGGTGCATCCACACATTATTAAAGGTCAAAGGGCTTAAAAGTACTTATACAAAATTTTATTAAAATAAAACCATTTAAATTGGGTGTTCGGATTTATATGTCACTTAGTATATGATACGCTTAGATAGAGTGAATCCACTTGATGCCATTTTTTTGTTCTGGGCTCATATGCTTTGACCTACATGCGGTAGCGGTTTCGACACAGTAAAAAACCTTATTCGGTTAGAAATTTAGTTCGTCAAAACGTAATTTCGTTAGTTAAAAATCTATCAAGTATACAATATGCGGACCAAATTATAAACTTTTTGTTCTTCTGTAACAAAGCCGGCGGGCGGCTGGTTTGTTAGCGTCATGCTTCTTCTTTATCATTACCATTCCGCCATATTTATTATACACATATTCATAAATGCACAAAGTGGAAAAAAAGCACATACCGATAGTGTAGCGGCCATATCTTATTACAGCGAACGCGTTCAAAAAAATTAACGTGCATACACAATGAATATAGGTCTAGAGATAAGAATGCAAGTTCACAAGATACCTACCGTTAACGAAGGAACTACTTAGTGGCATTTTGAAATAATGTGCATAGGTAAATGTGCATACTCAAGGCTGTAGGATCTATTAAATAGACTGGAAAATTGCATACTGTTTAGATACATAATCACAGAAAAAAAATTGTGAGATGTTACGCAAAATTAAAAATATAATCCTCGGAATGTTTGTACTTCTGAGAGTGTTTATGGAAAAAAGTAACTACAGTGGACCTCCGGTAATCCGACAAACATTATGCAGGGCATTGTCGGACTATCGAATTTGACGGATTAAAGAGCACTGCCTAAGACCCCCTATAGTCCGGAATTTTTTACAAAAGAGTAACCTTGTAATCCGACAAATTACATATCCAATGGTAAGATTATATATGTTATGTATATGTATGTACTTTGAAGTACAAATCATACATAGTTTATGTAGGTCGAATTTAGTAAATTAAATAACAATAGAGAGCTTACGTTATATTATAAAATTAAGCATAAATGCACATACATAATATGTACCAAAATAATCAAGAATTATTAATCAAAATCATTAATGAATTTATCAAATTATGAAGCTTGGAAATATTCATCAATTTTTTTTTTTTGTTTAAGGTTGTTATAACGCGAGATCAGAGCTTTGTCCCTCAGTCTTCTCAAAAGTAAAAGTTCGTTTTAGGATGTACCATTCTCTTCAGCTCATTGTAAGCCTTGCTCAAAGGCGTTAATTGCCTCTTGTGCTGTGACTTGTGGAGCAGTTGCAATCACGTCGTCATTATTTTCCTGATTGTTGTATAATTAGAAACCTCTTTTATAATCTCTTCGTCAGACATTTCATGAAAAACATTTTCCTCTTTATCCATTCCACGGCACCAGATTTCCAAATCTTCCGGACTGTGTTTCAGTAGCGACCTGTTCTATAACTTCCAAAGTTACACTGATTTGTGGAACGTTGCTAGGAGTGGTGACTATATCTGGTCATAACCTTTTCCAAGTCTTTCATATTAAATACTTTTAAAGTTTTTTGTATTGGTTGGTCTTTTGTTACGGCTCTCAGAAGTAGGTTTTTCTTAGAGTCTTGCTTGACAAACTGAATGATATTCTCGTCGATTGGTTGAATCAGTGCAGTGCAATTTGGCGGAAGAAACATCGCACTGATGCATTTATCCTCAGTTGTTAGTTCTTCTTCAGACGGATGACCAGGAGTGTTATCAAGAAGCAACAACGCTTTTTGAGGAAAATTATGATCTTTTAACCATTTTCTAACTTCAGGTACGAAGCATTCATCAAACCACTTTTTGAAAAGGTCTTTTGTCATCCATGCACTTTTTTGTCCATAATGGTGTACAGGTAAATCAATGTTTTTGAATGCCCGTGGTTTATTAGAATTCCCAATGACCATCATCTTAAGCGCGTGTGTGCCCGCAGCGTTAGCACATGGTAGTATATTTACACGCTCTTTACTTACTTTTCGTTCAGGTACGGATTTTCCGTTACAAGAAACGAAAGTTTTGTGAGGCATCGCACGCCAAAAAAGCCCTGATTCGTCTGCATTGTACCCCTGTGACGGGTCAAGATTTAAATCGTTCACCTTTTGCAAAAATCTTAATTTAAAGGGCTCTATGCAGATGGTATCGTTAGAAAGTTTCTCTCCTGTAGTAGTCATTAAACGTATGCCATGACGACTTTTAAAACGTTCTAGCCATCCTTTGCTAGCCACAAAATCATCTTTTTTGTTATTTCCTTATAAAAAACTTAGCTTTCATGGCCAACATGGGTCCTGAAATTGGTGCAAGCCTATTTCTTTCCTGAAGAAACCACATGTACAAACCTTCTTCCACTTTTGGATGTTCAGCTTTCTTGAGTGTCTGTCTCTTGCCTGGCCCGCAGTCAGTATTTGCACGAAGTTCTTGATCTTCTCGTGGTTTATTTTAATGTCATAAATTGTAAATCGGCCTACGCCGTATTCACTTGCTAAACTACTGAAAGTTTCATTGTGATTTAAGCGGTCTAGAATATCACATTTTTCGTTAATTGTCAATGTTTTGTGCTTTCGCTTCTGAGTTTGTGATGACATTACTAGATACTATACTTAATACACAATGAATAAATAGTAAACAATGAACGAACGCTAGGCCGTACTGCTATCACAAGTAGTCAAATTAAAACTAAGTAAAACAATGCTTACGCGTCGAGCACGATAGCGGTGGCGCGTTGTAACCTGTTCAAACCTGCGTGATCTACATTAGCGAAGATTGTCAAATACGTATGTATGTAATATTCAAAGAATGTCGGATTACAGGGGGCGCCGGATTAGACGGGGGCCAGATTATCGGGGGTCCACTGTATATGCTACTTGTAAAAGAAGGTATATGGCTATGAATATCTTCAAGGTTCCAATAATCGCATATTGAGCAATAAATTCAGCTTAAATCAAGTTTGCAGACAGTTATTTTTGTATCTATTAAAACTGTATAGGCATGCATAAAAGATAGAGTGAATGTTAAAGTGAATATTGCTTCTTTCATGCATTTTAATTGTAAATTAAGAAGTTCAAAATAAATCGGTCTCAAGCAGCTACCTAAGGATTTTATTAGTAATATCCTTGGATGGTATGTAAGTACCTCTGTGCTATGACAATTTTTGTATCACGAGGGTCTTCGGAAAAACTCAAAAGGCTGTTTTTTACATTCCTCAAGAGCATATAAAGGGTCTAAGGCCCAGGACATTCTGAATTCTGGTATGAAATTTGACAAAAAAGTTATGTACGGCAACTGGTTTTCAGATTTACTTGAGTACAGTGTCTAATAAATCATAATATCTGGAATTTCTCGAGGTTAAATGATAAGGTTCTTCATCAAGAGAGATGGATTTATTTCAATTTGTTTTTTAATTACTTTTAGAATGCCCTCATATCATGTCGTTTTGCATCAGGCGTTGAAAGAGAAAGAAAGTCGGAGGTTGGGCTATTGACATTGATATTTCAAATGCTTTGGACCATTGAAGCCACCTTGATTAGTAACAGGAGAGTAAATCTGCACAATATGCATTATTGGTCTGCAGATAGTCCGCATTGGTGGTATCCTCTAAAACTTCAACTCAAACTCGTAGTTCAGAATCATTTCATGTAAGCGAAAAAGTGACTTTTCCAAAATTGACTCTGAAATTACCCAGCAAACATTTTTTGTATCTCTTAGCGGAACCTTTTTATTTATTCCGTTGTAAAATCTGTCTTATACAGGGTGATTTTTTAAGAGGTATAGGATTTGATTTTCAAAAAAAACACAAAATTTGAAACAACGATTTAATCTTTATTTGAGTCGATAGAACGGTCGATATAATTTAATGTTTAAAGGTTATTTCATGTAAATATTGGCCGCGGCTCCGATTTAGATGGCCAATGCGCAATTTTGGCACACTGTCTCCAACATATCGGCCGGTATCTCACGAATAAATTCTTCAATATTGGCTTCCAGTGTGTCAATCGTTGCTGGTTTATCCCTGTAGACATTAGCCTTACCATGGCCCAACAAGAAATAGTCCAACGGCGTTAAATCACACGATCTAGGCGGCCAATTCACGGGCTCCAAACGTGAGATAAACTGTTCACCGAACTTGCCTCTCAATAGGGCCATTGTTTCGTGTGCGGTGGGGCATGTGGCACCGTCTTGTTGAAACCGCATGTCAGCCAAGTCCAGCTCTTCCATTTTGGGCAAAAAAAGTTTATCATCGCACGGTAGCGCTCGCCATTCATGTTCCGGCCATTGTCGTCTTTGAAGAAGTACGGATCGATGATGCCACCGGCCCATAATCCACACCAAACAGTGATTTTTTCGGGATGCATTGGTAGCTCTTGCAATGCTTCTGGCTGGTCTTCACTCCAGATGCTGCAATTTTGCTTGTTAACGTACCCATTCAACCATAAATGAGCTTCGTCGCTGAACACAATTTTTCGATAAAAATGTGGATCTTCCTCCAACTTTGCCAGCGCCCATTCACCAAATGGGAACCGTTGTGGGAGGTCATGTGGTCAATTCTTGCACCAGCTGTATCTTATAAGGTTTTACACCCAAATCCTGTCGCAAAATTTTTCACGTAGTGGAGTAACAGATGCCCAATTGCTGCGAACGGCGGCGAATCGACATTTCACGGTCATCACTAACACTGGCGGATACATATTTTCTTCAGTCCTCACTCTACGTCTGCGTGTTGGTGGTTTAATGTCCAATAATGTAAACTGGGTTCGAAATTTAGTCACAAGCTTCCGAATAGCTCCCTCAGTAGGCCGACCAAATTGCCCATAAATTGGAAGCAGTACTCGATGCACTCTCTTAACCGAGCATGAATTTTGATAGTAAAATTCAATAATTTGCAAGCGTTGTTCGTTCGTAAGTCGATTCATGGTTAAGTTATAGACCAAACTGAACAAGTTTGACAATGACACAAGACACGATTCACGCATCATCTGTCAAAAACAGTGTTGCCAAAAAGATACTAGCAAAAAAATCACCCATTATAATCGGTCTTATACATTTTTTCAGGACAGAGTCCGTTTGTGTCAAGATAGCCTGAGTTAAGTAATGATCGCCGTAATGATTCCAGATCTGATAGGAAAGCACAACTACCGTATTTGAAAGTAATAACTGTTTATTTTTCAACAGCCTCCCAGACAGCACGTCACCAGTAGTTACGGGTTAAGACACCTGGCAGTTCTTTTGTTTGTGGTGAGAACCAACTGTGCTACCAGATATTGAAACTACCGTGAACAATATACGTACACATGCGTATGTGTGCACTGAGATGACCGCAAATTGTATATGAAACCAACCTAGGAGGCGTTACATTATCACTTTACATTGTATTAAAGCGTAAAATCGTCAAGTGGCTCCAATAACGCAGTGATACGATTGCTTGGGCGATAAACTCGGGTGGTTTTGTTACATATTTAATTCCACTCGTTGCTAGTGAATAGCTACTGTAGCGAAAAAGCGGAACAGAGGCTTGCAACATTCCAATGGAAGCCAAAATCTCTTCTCTATGAAGTTTGGCATACAGGTTGTCCTAAAAGTGGGGACATTCCTTTTCAGAGTCAAGTACTTTTGCCCTCCCAAAGCCAATTTTCGGAAAAACAACACCGATAACGTTTAAAAGTGATTGAAGAAAAATACTCACTATTCATTTGGTACGGAATTTCGAGTACTACGAGTTTATTTACCTCTTCCTAAATGTGCAACATCTGGGGTTGTCTAAGCCTTCACGACGGCTACGTTCTGAGTACAATCGCGGAGAATCAATAGCATCTTGAAGATGCTCACATCAAATTGATAACTCCGTTATTGCGTTTTTATAATTTTCAGATTTAGATTTCCATGGAGTTTTTAGTAACTTTTGTACAATAAAGTTAAAAAAAATGGGAGTTTACATTTAAAAGTGTAACGCAATATCTTATTTTTGGATCACCCTGTATTGCACGGCTATATATGAAGGTACGTCCTCCTAGAAATCGAAATTGACGTGTCCGAGCGTTTTTCCTAAAATATACCAGGAGAGCCGCAAATGGGTAGGTGACCTTTTCGCACGGCCACCTTGTATGTTACTAAAAGCATGCTTATTATTTCCTGAGCTATACGCTCTGTAAAGGTAAGTCTCAACTTTGAGGACACCCTACAGATATGTAGCTCGCTTGCCCATCTGCATCACAATATTCCTGACGGTATCAGATGGTGTCTTATGCATCCCACGTTCAGAAGTGGGATGGGTCTTTTATGAGAAGAATAATCTATTCAGACCGCCAGGCAGCAATCAACGAACTAGCTCTAAAGTAATAACTATATTTTCCAAGAACGATTTTGTTCAAAACTGGTTTAAAACAAGCAATTCTTGCTAACTTAGGTATTTACTATACAGGGTAGCGCATCGAAAACGAAACAGACGCATTTACTGGCAGCTCAGTTTTTTTGGGAAATACGCTCAGACCCGTCGATTTTGTTTTCGAGGGGGACCCAAGTTTGGCAAAAAATCACGTTAACACGTGCAGCCCCCCAGCGGGGATGACACCAACTCTAAAATCTTAAATGGCAAGGGAGGTCGAGTGATACCTTATTTTAAAGGTCTTTCAATTCCCTTTATAATGATGTAAAATACATGAGCTTCAGTTAACTAGTTTTGAAGATTTATTGATTTAAAGCTTAAAGTAGACTTTAATAGGTACAGATTAGTTTGTACTACTTTCAGAAGAAATTTAACTAAAAGAATTTACTTGATAAGTAAATGCTTTTCTTCACTACGCCCATGGTTTGTTTATCATTTTGTTGTTGAAAATAGCTATTGGAGCGTTTTTTTTTGTGGCAAAAAAGTTATTTCTTGAAGAAAGATAAGGAAATATCTCGTACTTATTCTAAACAGGAATTTAGTACATAGTTTGCGATTGACTTGACCAAACGTTGTTGCTAAAATAACTTGTAACGTTTTATTACATGAATTAACCATGGTATCAGTGCGTAATCAGTGCGCTAATAGAACAGCAGAAATATTTAATGACCGACATGAGAACAGTAGCGTGCATCGAAAATATGTTCTAGAACTTGTAGCTATATTTCGGGAAACTGGGTCAGTCGCCAATAAAAAACGCAACATTGAAAATCCCATAAGGAACGAAGCAATAGAAGTGGGGGTTTTAGGGCAAGTTTGTGTAGATCCTACGTTAAGTACCCGCAAATTGGAGACTGTGTGTGGTGTTGGTCGACGTACTGTCCAACGGATTCTAAAGGCCCATAGTTTTCATCCGTATAAAGTTCACCTGGTACAAGAACTTAATGAAGACGATTTTGATCGGCGATTACAATTTTGTGAAGATATGAGTGAACGAATTATACACGATGAAGATTTTCTATTCAACACTTGCTTTTCCGACGAATGTTCCTTTTTCTTAAATGGCGTAGTAAATCGTCATAACT